GTCTTCCATTTTCTTAAAAGCTCACAGCGCGCCTTAAAACCCGATGCGCCTTGTGTATGGTCATTACGGTAATATGTCGACCCCAAGCTGGTCCCTTGCTGGAGACATGCTTACAATGTTATAACTTGCTGTTGGTTCAGTGAACTGAGTCGCTGCTTTATTAAATAAGTTTTTGTTGCAGCTCCGAAAAAAGGAGATCTGTGGTGTTGGTTCTTAAAACGCACACTTTATAAATGGTTTTCACAGTCTCAATACAAATACAGGTACGTCTTTGTCCGTCTCCGTGCCTTCTCTTCTTCCGTTCGACTCGAGAGGCGTTCATGACGCCTCTGAAAAATGTAAATTAATGATTCCTTCAGTGAAACTACGAAAATTGAAAATAATGCATCAAACCAGGAAATCACAAAATAAATTCTATAGCCCCCCTACAGAATTTATTTTGTGATTTCCTCGTTTGTGAATACACAGCAAGGGAATAAATAACAAACACTTCTGAGACAGTCCAGTCTCCTACATTTTACTGACATCTGATCGTTCTGTTGGAGCTCCGCTCAAGGAAATGCCAAAATAAATTCTGTAGGGGGGGCTATAGAATTTATTTTGTGATTTCCTGGTTTGATGCATTATTTTCAATTTTCGTAGTTTCACTGAAGGAATCATTAATTTACATTTTTCAGAGGCGTCATGAACGCCTCTCGAGTCGAACGGAAGAAGAGAAGGCACGGAGACGGACAAAGACGTACCTGTATTTGTATTGAGACTGTGAAAACCATTTATAAAGTGTGCGTTTTAAGAACCAACACCACAGATCTCCTTTTTTCGGAGCTGCAACAAAAACTTATTTAATAAAGCAGCGACTCAGTTCACTGAACCGACAGCAAGTTATAACATTGTAAGCATGTCTCCAGCAAGGGACCAGCTTGGGGTCGACATATTACCGTAATGACCATACACAAGGCGCATCGGGTTTTAAGGCGCGCTGTGAGCTTTTAAGAAAATGGAAGACGTTTCAATCCACCTTATAGTGCGGAAAATACGGTACATACACTGTGAAACTGTCAATCTGTGGTCTTTACCACTTCAGAGTTCACAAAACGTGATATGGAAACGTGGACCGTACTTCTTCACCCTTTCAGGGACAGCGGTCACAACGGTGAACAGCTTACCATGTTTTCAGGTTACAAGGTGCATGAAAGGGTTAAACACTGAATTTATCAACCTCGACCAAGTTCTCGTCACACCTGAAGCTGAGCGAAGTGCTCAGCCCTGGCCGCATCATACTTATATTCCGGATCCATCATCAGGTTGTAAATTTTGGCTTCATACTTCTCCACGGTCCTTTTCCTCTCTGCTAGCCGCTCTTGCTGCAAGCACACCGGTCGGTCACATACACGTGTGGCTGACGCATTACAAATGGAAATTGGGAGGGGGTGGGGGATTGTCTCCTAACCTGCTGGTCCCACAGCTCCTGAACGCACTGCTCCCATTCCGTCTGGTCTTTTGTGAGCAGGACGTCATACTCCTGCTGGTACACGCTCTGGAAAAAAGGGGCACCATTAGTGACACGTTAGCAGCCTGTGAGAAGTGAACCCGCGGCGGGAATGCTTTTAGCTTTCACATTGATGTGTCATGCGCCAACCTGGCTCGAAGAGTTTGAGGGGATTTTCATGACTGTTAGTTATTGAGTTCATTTGGACTTAGTTTTTTTTTTTTTAATATTTAGAGCATGATGATTTATTTATTTTTTCTTTCTAACATGCTCTGAAATAAATACACTTCAAATATTTCATCATAAAAGGTCCTGCTAAAATAATCAAGTCAATCTTTATCAATGACATGGAACAAAAATAAATAAACAATAAATCAGTGGAAGCCCTACGGAAAACTGAGGCTGAAGACAGTGCCGAGTGTGGCTCAGAAGTGTGTGCGGGCTCCGTGCCTGTCCAATAACTCGCAACTGTCTCGAATGCTTCTCCTGCGTAGACGTGACGTGACCGCACCTCAATCTGGTCCAGCTCCTCCCTGTAGGCCTGTGTCAGAAGACTGACGAGCTCTTCAGAGCGTTGCATCATCTGATCAATCTCGTTGGCCTGCCTCCTCAAGTCCTTCACAAAGCGATCGTCTCCACTCTTCAACTCCTGCTTGGGCAAAAACCAAAAACAAAACAAAAAACCCACAATGACATCACTGCCATCGATGGACGTCTGGCATGAGGACACGAGTGCTTTTTGTTACCTGCTGGAGGTCTTTGATGACTTTCCTCTTGTCTTCGATAAGTTCCGCACACAAGAGCTGCTGCCACTTGAGCGTTTCCTGCAGCTCATAAGGGATGACTGTCTGTTCGGCCAACGACCATCTGGCGGTGATCTCCTCAAACTTCTCCTGGCTGGAGTTGACTTCTTTCTCCAGGCGCTCTAAGCTGAGTCGGGAAAGACGCACCGAGGAAGGTCGCAATGCGTATTAACGGTACTCAATGGGAAGATGAAAACTTACCGTAGCTTGCGAGCGACCTCCAACTCTTCCCTTCGCAGGGATTCTTTGGCGTCGGCAGCGGCTTGGATGTCAATCACCAGTGCCAATAAATCTCTCTCCAGCTTGGAAATTCGAGCAGGGCAGCAGGACTGAAAATAAGCTGCGCTGAATAAATGCCATTCTGTACTTCTAGTTCATGAAAATCTAACAGGCGATAATTTAAAATTCTATCTTGTTTAAATTTGCTGTGCATTTTATAGAATGCGTACTGCAATGTGTACTACTACTACTACTTCTAATAACAATCAACTATAATATTCAGCCATCCATAATAATGCTCAGAATAAAAATTCCAAACTTAACTATGGGGGGAAAAAAACTCCAGTACTACTGTTGTGGGGGGGGTCTTCCTGCAAATTTACTCATTGTTTGCACACAAAATAGCAAATCGATAAATGTGGCCTTTTTTTTTTTTCTTGAGGGGGCGGCGGCACCAACCTTTTCCTGTTCCTTTTCCGCTTGCGGCGGCCTCTCCTGGGTGGACGCTCTCCATGTGCACAGTGACACAAGGCAATTTCATTCTACGTTTACTTGTTCGCAGATAACTACACACTTGGCTTTGCAAAAACAAATTCTAATTCACAAATAAGTACACAGAATAATGATAAGGATAATGACCAACACTCATTTACCCGTTTCCGGCATCGTCAATTCCGGGAAAAGTCAACTTTCCACACGTCTTCTCGGCGGCCTTCACCGTTTCCATAATGACTATAATTGAAAAATTTTCCGCCGTATGACGAAATGCGAAGGCGCGAAGATTCCAGCAGAGCGTCGCTGTGCTGCGTTTTGCGACCCGTTGCTACGGCGACCGAGTGCTGCATTTAGGGACACTCGGAAAAACAACTGACAGATGACAAATTGGAAGAGACTGCAGGTAAGTGCGTTGTTTGTTTTTACAAATTATACACACATAATGAATGACATACAAATACACGGAGAAATAAAGGGATTGACTCGTGACAATATAAATACAGTAATAGTTACAGATTAAAGCTCATAACACAAAATGTAATACATTTCAAGAGTCGCATAATATAGCACAATGATATGGTAACAGTACATTTTCAAGCAAAAGCTGCATCAAAGATTCCCGCATTTGCTGAAACATACAATTTACTATCAAAACTTCAAAATATAACTGTACTAATATTTCACAGTCGTTCAAACTGAATTTTACACCAAATACTGTCCTTCCATTTGATGACATGGAACATCGAACTGTACAGAAAAGATACCTTTTGAACTCGTATTAAACATAATTATGAATTAATTTGGTAATCGTTGTGAGGGTAACCGGTTCAAATAATGGATGGATGTTGTACGGATATTTGTATTTTTTAAGCCCCGGGGATGAGGTTTAAAATACAAATCATACAAAACGTGTTTGTCTTTTTTTTTGTTTATTGACTAACACAGGTACAGTACATGCACATAACACAACCCAAACTACTGGACAATTCCTCTTCACCGTTTGTAAATGAAGCTACTCCAAGCCTTTCCTTTAGAGCCAGATCTGTAATGACTACAGTTGTCTGCAGATGGCGCTGAAAGCCATGAAACAACCCACATAGCAGTGCTCCCTGATCAAAAACAGAAGCTCACTGTCTTTTCAAGATGATGGCACACAAACCTCACAAAGGGGTCAGATGCTCCTGCCCTAAGAGCGGACTTGCGCTAAGAACCCCCCTCGTCAGCCGCTGCTTTCACCTCAAGTGGCCCACCCCCGGGTAGCAAAGGTTTCTGACATATGATCCAACATCTGCGATGTCGGCAACAGCTGACTTGTCCAAAGACCTCTGTGTTAAGGGAGGGACGATGGAGGAGCATAACGGCTTATTTTCTTACCGGCTGGAACGCTTGGTCCTCTTTTTTTTTTTTTTTTTTTGCATGGAGCTGCTGCAGAGATTACAAACTCAATGACTGCCATTAGAAGAATGATTCTATAATCTATCGTAATACGATAATCTTGGGATTGACAGACTTTGACCCCCGTTTGCAGGTGTATAATACACCCCATTCACTCTGGGGTGTATATGCGCCGGGCGAGGTGCATGTGTAATGCGCACGTGTGTTTGTGTGCGTGCGTGTGTGCCAAATCCAAGATCATGAGGCATACGTTTACGTCTTAGTCAACAAAGAGTCATATTCATCGCTGAGGCGTTGAGAGGTACGCGGCCTAAAGGTCACCTAAAGCCAGTTAACTGACAGCTTGGATTTCTGCTGGCGGTAGCGCCGGGGCGCAGTCACAACCCCTAAGCATTTAAACAGGGGATGTAAACTTCTTATAACCGGCGTATTGCATCAAGGATGCGTTTCAAGTCGCCCCCAAAATATGTCCGTTTTCTACGACGTCATTGCGAGAAGAGGCTCCCTCCTGCGGAACGTTCTAAAGCAACGGCGGAAGGCCCTGACCTTGTCCAATGTATAGCAACTGACAAAAATCCCATTTCATAAGAGACAAGGACAAATACACAAATGGGATTTCACAATAGGAGCGAATGTAAGTAGCCATTTCAATGCTCCAAATAAGATTAAAAAAAAAAAAGATTTCCAAAGGCATTATTCATTGTTTGCCTGAATGCGAACTTGGAAGTGAGCGACAGAAGCAGAATAAGTGCGATGTGAGCGGTTGTTGAGAGTCACATTGCAATATCATACTCAATAGCCCCAAATTTTTCAAGAAATCTAATCTGTTTGTGAGTGGATTTAGGTGGTCAAATTATGATGTGAGGAATTAGGCCGATTACCTCTGGATTTGTTTTTTGTTTTTTTTTAATTGCAAAATGGTCATAACTCTGGCGAAAGTCAATCAGCCGTCTCGACTACCGCAGTCTTCATTGCGATGTCATTTCAAATATGTTTGGGTTTATCTACACTACACAGTTTTTGAATGTCTCACAATATTGATTAATTTGATTACCAGAGTGTATAATCGTTTCTGGAAAAAAAAGATGGAATTCATTCTGCTTCTCCATTTCATTATTTCGGGAATTGAACCCTTTTGGGGGCAGCGGTTACAAGAGTGGACAGCTATTCACATCTTCTCTTTTGTCACAGTTGTGCATCAACCACTGCAATGGACCCTTGTGTGTGTTACCATCCACTGCGATTATTTTTTTTTTCTTTCATGTCTAAAGACTAATAAAAACACTTGAGGAAAAAGAAATCTTTGAGGTTATTTGTGCATGAAAGGGTGAATTGGTTCAAATGATTCTACTGTTTGGTATGAAATCATATGCTTGCCTCAATTTTTTTTTTTCCCATGAATATTTTATGAGTTAACCTAACCCATCTTTAAAAAAAAAAAAAACTACCTGAGGGTCACATGTGGTCAGTGAGTAAAAAAAACAAAAAAAAACATCCAGACAAAAAAGATCCATGGTTCTGACTACTGATATTAATGACATAGTTGCACATGCTGCTGCACAAACATCCTTGTGTGAATTTGCGTGCGCCCGCCTTCTCCCATGACTTTTGGCCTCGGAGGTAAAACAGCAGAATTGACTTAAGCTGTCACCGTTGAGCCGCACAGCCACCCCCTCCCCACCGCCGCCTCGGCACACGGCATTTTCGCACTGCAGGGTGACCGCGAAAGGGCTCGTAAGACTCGACGTTGCGCGTAATGCTCTTAGCGGCGAGCTGATGGGCCCTGGTGGCTTGCGCTCCCTAAGACCAAGAAGCCAAGCAAAGTGTTTCAACGGGTATGCGTGCGGCGGCGATTATTGGGTCGAGTATCTTTATCCTGCTGTTAGATTAGCCGCTAATGATGGAGGGGAAAAGCCCACCCCCAATGCGAGAAATTGGAACAAGGGCCGGCGCTGTGTGGAAGGCGAGCGGCTTTAGGAATCCCGCACCTCGGACTCATTAGGGCTGAAGCGCCGCACTCCTTCACTGGACGCTGCGGGAAAGGACACTTTCCTTGACATATTTCCGGTGTGAAATGAGGAAACTAACACGCCGTAATGAACGATAACTCGACGTCACCCATTTTCAACGCGCTGCACTTGTCATCGGCGATTTGGCTCGAGTCCTTGTGACCGCGCTATTGAAACACAGTGTCGGCCGTGGCAATTTGTCGCAGGAGCAAAGCTTCGGTAAACCAAGCCGGTGCAGTTTAGAAGCGCATGTGAACACATTCGTTATTGTTAAATGAAAAAAAAAAAAAAAAACATTCATAGCATCTGTCCGCCAACCGTCTTATTTCCCGCCATTTTGATTAATGTGCCTCGTCCCCGTCCAATAAAGCAAAACCTAATAAATGTTCATCAATTACGCACTGAGTAGGAGCTGTAAAGAAATACCAGGAAATGAAACAAACATGGAGCACCCCCCCCCAAAAAAAAAAAAAAAGAACAAACATGAAAAGGTTGATGCATCAACAAAAGGCTGATTTGGGGAGCAAGATTCAGAGTGCTCTCATGACAGGTGTCATGTGTGTTTGTATTTAGCCAACATGGCCGGTGATGTGCACCCTCTTCATGTGGCAGATACAGTACACGTCACCGCTAATGGACATGGAGTACTTTTTTTTTTGTATTTGGCTCTCTCCCGGGCTTGCATTAAAGACATAAAAAGCCATTTCTCGATGCGTAACCGGAGCACGGACTCGCATGGGAGAAGGCGCGCGCACGCAAATTCACACAACAACTCAAGGATGTTTGTGCAGCAGCATGTGCAACTATGTCATTAATATCAGTAGTCAGAACAATGGATCTTTTTCCCCCCACTTTTTGTTTTGATTTTCAATTACACCATGCAGGAGAGCAAAGTTAAGCTCCTGCACGTGCCTGAATTTTGTCTGGATGTTTGTTTTTTTTTTAAATTTTTTTTTTTACTCACTGAGAAGGTAATCAAAATATCATTCGGTTAACTAATTTCTATCACATTTCATCAGGAATCATACATTGACTACGTCAAGAAATTAAAGCATCTCTATTTTGTTTCTGGAGACAATGTTGAGGCCCACCCAAAACATAAATGTTAAAACATAGTTCATCGACACTGTTGAAGTGAAAACATCTTACTTTAATAACACAAACCTGGTTGGAACGGCATTTAAAAAGTCAAATGAAAGTCACGGACGAAGCGATGATCTGTTGCCACACCAGATTCAAATAACTGTATACATTGAAACCTCCAAGGGGGTTTGACACGAAATGAATATGGGACTTTGAAATACAGAAATCAGCCTTCTGAGAGGAACGGCCGCTGTGACCACAAACCTCCAAAATGTGCAAACCTGGAAAGTCCACCTCAGTGATGTCAGCCATCAGCTCTGCTTGTCCTGAATGTTCATCAGACTTGAGGCGTACGACTTTGCTCTCTTGGCTGCAATAAAAGAAAAAAATGTAGCTTTGTGTAAGGGAAGAGGAACACAGTTATGTGAGCTGGAGGTCTTCTTTTTGTCCACTTGGGACCGCCATCCTCACATTCCATTGTAGTATCTGTGACTTTGAGTTAAGACGGCTTTGAAAGGTGGGGCCTGGCCTGGTGAATGCGGCGGCGAATGACAGTGTAGGGTTAGCTCTCAGTTAATCGGCTGACCCATAACCCCCCGCCCCCCCAAAAAAAAAAATTGGTAGAAGTACGCATAAATCAAAATATACAAATGACACATATGCGGATGTCGATTGGAATCTGATGAATCGTTCAGAAAGATGAATCAACAAACATATCTTGTAATAATCTCCACATTTATGGTTTTGTCAGGGTGAGTCTTCACCTCTACCCTCCCATCCGTCCCAGGGCCAAAACTCCACGATCACAGTCCAAGCACAGAGCCCCGCCCACTTTCCTTTAGCGGCGCACAAAGGGACCCTCAAAACCCCTGTCAAAATATGTGCGTGCAACAATGGGGGAATTAAGCGGGTTACTCACGGTGTATGAGCTTGCGTTTCTTTTGTTCCGAGTGAAGGAAGCTGCTCAAGTAGAAGATGATGGGCAGAAAGAGCATGAAGCCGGACACGGCGATGACAGGCACCGTCTCCTCCCGGGGGAAGGAACATTTGAAGTTTTTACTCCACAGCCGGCGGGTCATGTTCATCTGAAAACGAGGCAAAGTGCACAACATTAACGCCACCGACGATGAGAGTGTCGGTGGCGCTGGCTAATAAGTCGAACCATCTTGGCGCTCGGTACCCATTTTGGAAACAACATCGAGAGTACGCAAACGACATGCGCTGTCACTTTGGACTTAAAAGTGAAGACAATAATGCTGGCGTCAGCTTCCACGCCGCCCGAATGTGCAACAAACAGCAAAAAAAGAGCTAAGACTTTGGGAAATGTTAATCACATCCAAATCCCAAGGCCAAAAAAAAAAAAAAAAACACCTCTGTGCAGTTTGATCGTTTTGGCCTGCGGGATGTTATTTCGTACAACAATGCAGGTATGCTCATTTAAAGTAGAAGGGAGACATACATGTTGCGCTGCGTCAAATACGAGAGACATTTGTGTAGTGAATGGATGCATGTGCTAAACATTAGCACCGATGCTAAAATAACAACAATGGCGGCTGACTACGCTTGATTTCCACGTCAATGATGACATGATTCTTCATATTACATGACACATTATGAGTGCTACATGTGCTAACATCAGCGTTCACATAGACTGGCTGCGGGTTTATTTACTCAACCGCAGCGAGGATCAGGGGTTGATTCAGGGTATGGTGTTCATTGAATGGGAGGTTTTGAATCAAAATCATGTATGATTAATGCACTGTAGGAGATTAGAAATCAGGCAGAGGGGTTTTCTGACCGTGTTCTGCTAATTCAGAAGCAAAGTCAAAATGTCAGCAAATATTTCTCGGAATAACAGTCCATTCAGAATTTGGGGAATGGAGAACTCCATTTTGAGGAAGTGTGAAAGGTTAGCGTCTTTCGTCCCTTTAGCTTCTGACCAAACTGTGATTAAACTGCTTTTTGTCTTCTTTTCCTTTCGGCTTTTCCCTTCAGGGGTCGCAACAGCGAATCAAATTTCTTTTTGTTTTATAGACCACAGTGTACTTCTTATGTATCGGGAGAGTCAGGGGCTAACAAGTCCAAATTGCCACTGAAAAGACTAATGAAACAGTACTCCACAACTGACGCAATACATACTGAGACTTCTATAAATGAGCAAAAAAAAAAAAAGTGTACGTACCCCATCCTCAATGTCAATACACATCGAGTCGTTCTTCTCCATGCTGCTGTATAGCTCATTGAGCCCTTTATAGGCACTCTTACAGTTTTTGCACAGCTCTGTGTGATTGCCCTGTGGAGACATGGCAAAAAGGGGCAGACGTTCCATTTCTGAGCGTGAATCTGTGAACGCATGGAAGCAAGTACCTGTTGGTATCGATCAAAGCAGGTGAGAGTTTGGTTGAGAGAGGACATGAAGTACAGCGTGTCGTTGGTGAGGCTCTGGAATCTGTCGTTGATGCATTCTAAAAAGGAGGGGGGGGAAAAAGGCACCGGGTTTGTTGTTGTTGTACAGTAGGCAGTAGCACTACAAACACACTGATAAGATGTCTGACTGGCGAACAATGATGACTGTCGAGCACAACTGATGAAAGTCACATGCCTCGTCCCTAAAAGTCATATGATTCATCATCAGAGGACAAGTGACTCCTACTGCAAGTACGGTCTCTGTCCAATTCAGTGTTTTGGTGCACATACTGTCACAGGCGGATTTGGTCCACAGGTCCTTCAGGTTGTTAAAGAGCAAATAAACCAGCATGAGACGGTCACTGCGCAGAAGGCTGTCCCTGCAGCTCTCATTGCCAGGTCCCAACTGGAATACATTTAGCAATCAAAAACAACAAACCAAGCAGAAGTTTAGCGTTCCCTACTTCAATAAGAAAACATCACAAAGGCGAAACAGACAACTCCAAACGCCACGTGACTGGGGTACCTGTTCGGAAGAGATGTTCATGTAGGTGGCCACCAGGCTGCCGTAGGCACCGAAGCAGTTCTGGCAAACTTTAACCGGCCGCGCAGACGGCACCAGGCAATTGACATAAGCCACATAGCGCTGGCCAAAGATGCGCAGCAGCTCGCTGCAGTAGTCGCTCACCTCCAAGTCGTCCGGGAAGGCGGATAGCAGGAGGAAGGGTGCGGAAGAGTCCTCCTCCACCGCCGCTGGCTTCAAAACAGGCGACTCGACCGAAACAGAAAGGTTGACGTTAGCGCCTTCGCTTGACGCGACGGCGCAAACACACAGCACCCACACGGTTAAAAACACGTATTGGTGATAAAGAGGCATATTTGATGCTCTAAATGCGCCAGGGTTCGCTCGTATGCCTCAGACAACCCATGACTTC